GAGGCGGCGGCAAGGATGGCGGCGGCGTCGTGGGCTCGGTGGAGATGAGTGCCCGCGGCCCCAGGCCCAGGGCGGCGTGGCCGAAGTGGGCGGGGGTCCCGATGCAGGCCCGAGGGGGGCCATGGGGCAGGTCCTGCCGGTCTTCGCCCACTGCAGTGAGTAGGGGCAGGTTCGGGCCCGGTGTGGGGCCCAGAGGCCCGGGTGGGCTCCTCCCTGGTATCCTCTCGGCGCCCGGCTGCGGGAGAGCAGAGATGGGGAGGAGGCAAAGGAGACAAAGGATGCTCTCCCCTCCCCCCGCGATCTGGCGGCAACGGGGGCGATCTGACCCGGAGCACTTGAGTGACACAGGGCGGAGTTGGGGGGCACTGAGATAACTAGCGTGGGGGCGCGCTCGGCTCTGGGATGTGCTGCTGGGCCTCGCCCAGGAATGAGGGCGTTCGCCGGGAGCTGTCCCCATGCCTGGTGCTGGCCGCAGCCGGCAGGGAGGGCAGTTGAATTGAGGGTAGAGCCAGGATGGAGAAAAGAGGTCTGACCTCCCAGTCACCCACCTTTGCATCCCAGCTCTGTTTTCTGCCCTGACTCACAGGCAGCCCCAACCTCGCCCAAATTGTCCAACCTCCTGTCCCTGGGAAACAGCCATTCCCGGTTGGAGCCAGGACTCCTGGGTCCTTAGCGGGTTTTACCACTGATTCGTAGTAACCCTAGAAGAGACTCACTCTGCTCCGGCCCTCTGATTCCCGGGATCCGATTCCCCAGCTAAGGAAACAAGGTGGGGGTGGAGGGCCTCTGGTTCCAATTTCTAAAGGGCACTGAGCATCTCCTGTAGGCAAAGCCCCAAGCTCGATAGCTCTGAGGAAGTGGATTCCTCAACTGAAAAGGCCTTGTCTGATCCTCACGATCTCTGAGCCCAGGTGCTAATAGTCCTTGTCTAACATTCTCTGCCCCACACTCCTGTGGTTCTGATAGTTGGGGATTTCAACACTCTCAGATCTAGCCACTTGCATCTGGGAAGTCCAGATGCCAAAATTCTAAGAATTTGTTATTTCAACCTTTTAGAATATCATCCCCAAATTCAAAGATCTTGTGCTTACTTTGGCTTACAAAGGGTGGCCCCTCCACCTTACCTACCGTCCCTCATCTCCCACCCCTCCTTCCCCTCAGTTACTCTGCTCCAATCACACCTCTGCACCTCTCTTTTCCTCAAATATGCCAAACAGTGCCTGCCTCAGGGCCTTTCCACTGAGCTTTTCCACCTGCCTGGAAGATTCTTCCCTAGATAGCTGCATGGATTCCTCACTTCATTCAGACCTCTGCTCAAATGTCATCTTATCGGAGAAGTCTTCTGATCACCCTGTCCGAAGCAGCAACCTCTCACTTTCTCTTCCCTTACCCAGCTTGTTTTCCTCCACACACTGAAAGCACCCAACATCACATATTTAATTGTTTATTGTCTGTGTCCTTTATAAAGTATATGCTTTATGAGGGCAGGAGTTTTGTCTTTTTTGTTCGTAGTTGTGTCCTCAGGGTCTAAAACAGTGCCTGGCACATAGTGGGCACTCGATAAACGGTTGTTGAAAGAATGAATGAATTGAATCCTCCTACGAGTCCTAATTTGAAGATTCTGAGATTAGGGTTCCTGNGTAGTGGGCACTCGATAAACGGTTGTTGAAAGAATGAATGAACTGAATCCTCCTACGAGTCCTAATTTGAAGATTCTGAGATTAGGGTTCCTGGATTTGAACTTCTAAAGCTGAGCTTCTGCTAGAAGTGACAGGTCTTACAGCCTGTATTCAGAACATTCCAAAGGCCCTGTGAGTCAAATATTCTGATTCCTTCATTCGGCCCACCCAAGCTTCCAGGACCGGCGCTCTTCAATGACTCGGACAGTCTAGACTTCTAAGAATCTTCTGGTTTTTTCCCCTCTCGCAGAAGAAGCTCCATCTACAGCCTCCTCTACCCCTGACTCCACGGAAGGTAAGTCACACGGGAAATGTGACTCGAAAGGGGCTCCCAGCTGGGTGGGCCGGTTGAGGAGAGTGGGGCAGGGCCCTGCAGGCTAGGAGGAGCTCACGCCCTCCTTTCTCACTGCAGGAGGAAACGACGACTCGGATTTTCGGGAGCTGCACACAGCCCGGGAGTTCTCGGAGGACGACGAGGAAGAGACCACTTCGCAGGACTGGGGCACCCCCCGGGAGCTGACCTTCTCCTACATTGCCTTCGACGGCGTGGTGGGCTCCGGAGCGCGCCGGGATTCAGCTGCCCGCCGGCCCCGGCCCCAGGGCCGCTCGGTCTCGGAACCGCGAGACCCACCCGCTCAGCCTGGCCTGGGCGACAGCTTGGAGAGCATCCCCAGCCTGAGCCAATCCCCGGAGCCCGTGCGCCGGGGAGATCCGGATACTGCCCCTCGGGCCGAGCGCCCCCTGGAGGACCTGGGGCTCCAGCTGGACCAGCTGGACTGGGCGGGCCGGGGAGCGGGGTCTGGGGAGGACTCTGCCACCAGTAGCTCCACCCCGCTGGAAGACGAGGAGCTCGACGGATCAGAGGCTAGAGAAGCTGGGAAAGGTGAGATGTCCCCAGGTGCTGGGACCAAAGTCACAAGGGGTGGGTAGTCTCTTCTCAGGGCACTTCCGGGGTGAAAACTCATGGTTTCTCTCTCTAACGCGCTAGAACTGGACCTACAACTCAGACTCGCTCAGTCCTCGCCGCCCGAAGTCTTGACTCCACAGTCCAGCCCTGGCTCTAGGACCCCCCAGGCCCGTACCCCGTCCCCACCCAGATCCCGGGATTCGAACTCTTGGCCTGATGAGCCCTCGCTGGACGAGAAAGAGGAAGAGCCGTGGGGGCAGCTGGATCGGAAGCCAATCACGGGGCAGTGCCTTGTTAGCACGGACCAATCAGAATTCACATCGGAACCACACCTTCTAGGTAAACTGATCGCTTGAAGGTGCTCCTTTGGATTACGGGGAGGGCGGGC